ACCGAGTGTCTTCTGGCCTCTTTGTTGCTTGATTTTCTCTGCTGAGCGTGGTAAACTTAGGTTCATTGCGCACGCATGGAATATGAAGTGGCGCATTCCCATAACGACGTCCTTGATGCTATCCAGCTATCCTCGATCTGCGAGTCCAATCCATGTCATACGCGGGCGGAATCTTCCGTATTCCATGCGCCTACGCACCATATTGGAGCTCGATGAGCTCAGCATCCCTTGCTTCGTATGACTGGCTGCACAACCCGCCACCTACTGTCTACAAACGTTGGGGCCGGCTAGCTATTCCGGCGCGTCCGTCCAACTGCTCCAATAACATAGGACGAGTCCGCCTCGTCCCAAGTCGCGGTGATCACCAAACAAATTCCAGTATTTGATGTCAGAAAAATCCACAATTTTCGACCGATCTCCGCTTAGTAAAGGAACGAGCCCTCTCCGCTCACGGTAGTAAATTTGCACAAAAGTTACATACTTTCTTTGCGCGTCAGCGCGACACTATCCAAAAGCTATAACAATCACTTTGCTCGACCGCTAAATAACCAGACTTCATCGAGCTGCCGTGCACAATTAATGAAAGAACGCGAAAAATCAGAAAATAATTGAAAGTGAGGTCGGAGATGAAAGACGCATATGGCGACAGTTGCGCGGCATTGCATACCTCTCAATTTGGCAAACCAGCGAGGAAAGACACACGAGCTCGTCTAAAGTGTTGCGCACTGCAATATCGGTAATACACTGGTGGCCGGACCTCTTTCATCCACACCAGATGAATTGAGTGTGCCATTGGAGGAGGTGTTTGGAGCTTAAAAGCGGATATTGTCGTGGCTCAACTTTTAAGCCTCGGACGATGGCAAAAATTCGTGAAAACTCTCGGTTGTATCTGCGCGCAGTGCACACTCCGGCTGTCAAAAGAATTTGAGATTTTTTCAAAAAAAACCAGAAAATTCTAATTTTACTAGTGCATTATGAGGCCCTCCCCAAATTCTCCTAGCATTCAAAGAAACGCGCGCAGGTAATTTTGGACACCCTGTACATATCAGCAATTTTTCCCTTAAACCCTTTTTTTCCTTTAACCAATCTAAAGACCATCTGCATTAAAAAGCATAAAAAGTCCTTTTTTAACTACTAAAAATTGCCCATATATGGCTTGCATTTGTTGAGCAGCACTTACCACTTAGCAACAACATTTGATGCCACCATTTTGCTTTAGAAATGCCTTAATATACTGCAAAATTATGTCACTCACTTTGAGTCGAGTGCCTCAAATTAATTGTTCAAACTTATTTGTATAGCGTACAAACCCAAATCACCTATGTATGTCGATACCGCCTGATAGTTAACTAATTTCTGCTTAAGACATTTTTCAGTTTTATGTTCTGCATACTTTTTTGGCAGCAAAAGAACAATAGTCATAGCATTTGTGAAAACTAGTGAAATTCAAGGTTTAAGGGATTCAAAGTGAAAATAATGCCGACATAACCCGTACCAGACACAGTGATAAGAAACAGCATTGGTGTCTGGGGTACTCAGGAAATGACTGTTCAAATCTTAAAGGACATCTATCAATGGAGCGAAACCTCATTTTTCATCATTTGCACCTGTTCAGCTTGAGACGCTCAATAGAGATATTATATGCATCTGTGTCAGAGTAATTCACTCACCATACGAAGGGGGCTTTTTTTGCACAGTGAGGCAGAATTTGGGGCAATCCTATATTTTAAATACGGTAATTCTTACATAGGCAAAAATGCTTTCGTATTCTCACATGAATACGTTGTTCAGAAAAACAATAGTTTCATGAAAAGTTGACTACTTAATTAGTCTAACAAATCAAGAAATTCGTTTTCAGAAGAACCGTCTAAGTATTTGACTTGCCAGATCAACTTCAATTTATAAATTCAAGCAAAGTTATTGTCATAGTCTCTAGTAGCTGTAAGACCAGCTCACAACCAAAGTATCTGGAAGGCTCGAGACGTAGCATGCGGACAGCTCTCATGACGATGTTAGAGTCCTTTCTGTCATTTTCGTCCAGGCAAGCTTTTCTAACAGCACGAAATCTGATTACTGAAAATGTCTTCCAGTTCAAATCAATTTCAACGCGTATTTTTAACAATTGCAGACCAAACTAACTAGGAAATTCTCAGAGATAAGGAGTAATAGCCAGAAATCAAAAAATGCCAAACTATCTTTATCGCAATCATCGTTTCACATCTCAAAGGTAGATATAGATATGTATGCATGCTTTGCCTATGTTTTTTCCGTATATGTTTATGTTTGTATGTTCTCGTATGTTTTGTATTTGCGGGGAAATCGGATAATTCCACAACCCTTGCTAACTTGGTGCATTATAGTTTCATAAGGCTGGGTTCATACTGACCCGTAAATTCAGGAGCTGTTTCAGCACAGCGCACAATTCGAGCGCTGTGCTGGAACTGTTCCGGAACATAAAATCAGTATGAACGCAGCCTAAGTGTATCTCAAAAAGTTTAGAGATTATATTGTAGTGCTTGTGCTTGGCAACGCCTGCCACATCAAAGCGCTCCACATGGTTTTGCACAAAGTGAAAATTTTGACATAATGACAACTTTCATCTTATTGCTTTGTGTATAATGCTTCAGTGGTCTCCTAAAATCAGAAACACTCTTCTTACTGTGCATTTGTACAAATCTTCATACTTCAAAAGTGGTTTTCATTGATACGCCTATTCTCTGAATTCGATATTACATTCCACATTGCTTTGATTGATTTAGTTAAGTGAATTGATTGTTCTATTGATATAAATCTGTGGTATGAAATGATGGCACATTGAGTTGGAAAGAATGATGGTAATGGTGATTTCTTTGATGCCGCTCAGAATTTGCAGCTATGAAAACCAAAACGTGTTTCAAATTTTTCATTGCAGCTCAAATCCTTGCTCCCATTAGCACGGATAGATCAAAGACTGTAGCGATATGAAAACTGTGCGTCACTTGCTATAACAAATTTCCAACGAACATAAAAAGGCTAAGGATTTAACAGCCCTAAACAACCTGTTATGTAAATGAGTCAGTTCACAAATAGGCGTTTTCCGATTGCTCAATTGCTAATCATCTTATTTTGAAAGGTAGGTCTTTTTTCGATAATAGCATTTTTACTAATAGTCAAGAGTTGGTTGGAGAACGTAGGCACACTTCGGTATACAAAGGAGATTTAGCGCATCTGTAACAAAAAATTTGGAATAGAGCTGACTTGAGCAAGATAGAGAACTTTTCTGTACACGGTGCAGAGAAAACAAACGGATTTATCTATCTTAAGCTTCGAATTGGCCAGAGAAAATGAGAAGATTAATGATGCAATGGTTTGGTGTCACTTTTGAGCAGCTTAATTTGAGTTTTCTTCAGCTTCAAAGCATACAAAATCTATTATAATCCAAACTTTTTTTTGAGCACGTCACAATAGCTATTGCCACAGAAATCATAGAAGTCACAAAAGCAGTATATATATACCACCTGCAGCTGAATCCGACAGTCACCTAATAAATTCTCTTTTTTTATGTTCTCTTGGTTTTATTAGAAAGTAGCTTTTGCAACAGCAACTCTAGAACTAATTCTAAACTTTCAGTTATGCAATAAGGCTACAATTGTCTTTGATCCTAAGTATGAGAGACTCAAGCTATGAAATTTTTTGATGCTTTTTCTTACAAGATGCAAATCGCATTTAATGCTCTTCACGAAATGAGCTTTGCGCGTATGAAAAGATCTTTACGGAAAGTCCAGAGTTTACGCTTTTCATGGCGATGCGAAAAAGCTCACCTGAGCATAAAGCTGTTTGAAAGTGCAAGGCCGCTTGTTTTGTTTTGATTTCCAACGCCTTTTCTGAGGTTACAGAGAGCAAAGAAACTCTTCCAGATCTTACTTTTGACTCTAGTGGTATTAAAACCTGTCTAAATTGCATAAAAAAGTCTTTCTAACGATGAAAATCCCACTGCTCATATTCATAGAACAAAAAAAAATCGTTTCAGTATAGAGTGACTAAATGGGGAGTTCGACGACTGCAAACTTGCAATTGCACTCAAATTCTGCTATATGCGCAAATATTACTAACAGTCAAACTTGCACCAACTTTTTTCGCAAAAGATGCGCGAGATATCATAAAACGTCCTTTGCACGTTGCAACACTTGGCTCATTTTGCCAAAATGAGAGAACCTCAAATTTACTGAATCAGAAAATGGAGCATGTTTGAATGCAAACTGCTCAGTGTTTCACACTTTTTTAAGAAAATTTTTATCACATATAGCGTTCCAAAATCGTTATTCAAAATCATCATAGCAGCAGTAATAGGCGCACAGCATTTACATATGAGCTCTTCAGCTATAATTGTCCTGCTACCATCCTATAGGAACAGGCCTATTTTTGAGACAACCGTGTATCTGGGAGGCGTTCATGGGCTACTTTTCGAGATAGGCTAAACATTGTTTTTGTAGCAAAACTTGCATACAGCAGTTTAACGAAAAAATTTTTAGTTTATAATTAACGCCAATACTCCGCTTAGAAGTGCCACTTTCAATCACGGTACTTTTACTCCCTAATGGCTATTGATGACCGAAGTATGATAGTCTAAATGAATTTTTCGAGAAATTACGGGAGTTTTATTGCGAGTAAAGTTTTTTCATGCTCGCTTAGATGATAAAAAAGCCTTTGCTCTTGTCTAGGCATTATGTTCTTTGATATCAAAGAGAGGACAACTTGCACAAAAGAGAAAGACACAGTTCATTATTACAATCCTACCACTTCAGTGGGTTTGAATTACAAGCATCACACACTGATCAACTCATTCTTTACAAACGCAGTGCAGCTTTCGTCGAACTTTTCAACCTTTTAATCGCAAGTTTGCTTCAATCCATCTTTTTCAACATAGCTGTCTTGCAAAGGAGACTCAATTAGTCATAAACGCTGCGCTGTCACTTTTCTCTCATGTTACAAACAAACCCAAAAATTATCAGAATTTTTCGGGGCACACTCATATTGCTGAAAACAACTATGAACCTGCTGTTTTTCTTTTTCTTCCTGGGAGCTTGTTTCTTAGGTCTAACGAATGCTTTACGTCTCACGCCAGAAGAAAAGCGATACTAGTTAGGCTGAAATTACGTTGTTTTAATGCGCAACAGAAATGTGTGTTTTCAGCATGGAATGCGTGAAGAATTGCAAAGGTGCCAAATCTATATGCCATAAAAAGTGTCTCCTTGAGATAGTCATGCGAAGGAAGAATCATTCTGCATGAAACGAGCACTTCTCCTCATTGTCTGTTTCTTCTTGTGATAAGATGAAATAAAGCATTGTGCAGCGTGTTTGCAGGGAAATTCAACGTAAAATACTTTGCTAAGAGTGCGTGGTATTCTCTAAGCACCTTCACTCTGCAACAAAGTCAGTCATTTGTCGGCAGCTATGTTTCATAGAAGATCAAGCAAAGAATCCTCCTTACGCAATTTAGCGGAGAACACATTGAACTAAAATTGCTAAAAAGAAGATTATTCCAGCCGTAAAAGTTCTCCTATTCTTTGTATCTCTTATTCGTTGTGTAAACAACGTTTCCACTTTTAATTTGTAAGTGTTTTTAAATTGGCACGTCCTGTAGTGGCCATGTTACCGTGAGGAGTTCTATCTAGTTCTCTTCTTTGGAAAATTGAGGGAAACAGCGCGTCATTTTCTTCCCATCTGTTGGTCCATTATGACCATAGAAGCTTGTTATCTAAAAAATCAAAAATGCACTCGTGGCAGCAATTGACGTCATAACACCCAAAAGACAAAATAGAGTTTCTTAAAAAAACAGATCGATCAGTTGTTAATTTTTGACTTCTGAAATAGAAGCATTGAAGCAGTATGAAGGAAGTAGATCCTTGCTTTAATCGGCTTCATCTGCATTTGGTATTTTTGCGCAGAGTAGACTTACTGTAGGCAGTAACACCCAACTAATCTACATATCTTCGCTGTCCTTCAGGTCTGCTGCCTCAAGGTAACGAGGAGGTGCAGCTGGGTATAGTAAGATGGCTCAAACTCAACCAATTAGTCGAGCCACAGATCGTTTTAAATTCTCCCGTCAGGTTCGTTCCCATTTGTCTGTCAAGGCGGATCAGAGTTTTCAGCGTTAAAAAACCACTAATGTCATCTAAAAAGTAGTGACATCTTGACACAGTTCGAGCGCCTCACGGCTATCTAGGATGTGGCGTAAAAATACTAGGTCCACCCGAAAGTAGTTTCGCATTTTTTAGACGGGCGCCACAGTCCGCGTAACAAAGATTTTTGGGAGATCTTGTATTATACAATGCATCGTTTCACCTTTTTCAATTACTTACAATTTCACTGCGGCACAATCAACGGGCTCCTAAAAGTCAACCTCTGCGAGGCATGCTTTTTCGAGAAGTTTTGCCATTGTTCTGAAACTTTACGCCAACTCTCCAGAGGACCGCGCAGACTCTACAGCAAACAGTACTGTTGGAAGCGATTGGAGATTTCTAAACGCTAGCCCTCAATTACATGGGGGCTAAGCCGGTGAGGAGGAGTGATTACTAAAAGTCATGCAGGCCAACTCAAGAATGCCGTACAAGGACTGAAACACTGTCAAACGTGGTCATCGTGTGACCGATGATTACGCGGAAATAAGAAGAAGCAATCACGAATATCATGTTGGCCTGCAAAAAACATCTTGAAAAATCGAAGAAGAAGGAGAACTGATATAAGCCTGACTACAAATAGAATGTCGCGAGGTACACATATGAAAGGTCATGGCAGAACTGTGCACTATAATCGACGCCACCTTAGAAGAACTCGCCAGCTTGGACCAGTTATACCTTTTAGCGTCCACCCTGTTGAAAATGGTAGAGTATGGATAAAGGCAAGAGCGCCTGAAAATTTATTTCAGTTTTACGACACTTACTGCGCAGTAATGAATACCAGACACCCATATGAAGAACAGGATGCGAGCACCCGGCGCAAAATCGGAAGAACTCCCACCGTGCCGAAATCCCACCGCAAAAAAGGAAGAAAAAGGGGAAGGCATAAAAGGGGAAGAAAACGGGGAGCATCGAGAAGAAGAGATTTGTGAGAGTCGAAAACTGATTAGGAGAAAACCAGACCTCCCCACGTGGAAACTCACCGAGAATTGATCCAGACATAACCGCGCGAAGGCCTGCTAGAGAGTCAAATTGGGACATTTCCCCTGATTTTGTGTTTTTCCTCGTTGTTTTGTTCGTTGTTGGCCTTGGGGCCGTTGGTCTTCGTTTTGTTATACGGGTAAGATTTTTTGTTTTCAATCTGTTCGTGTGCCCAGTATGTTGAGGTTAAAACCTAAATATACCACTAGACACCAGCCTTCCTTCAGTTACAGTACAACTTTAGTCTCCTTTCCTTAGCTTGCCATATTCTTGTTTAGAATTTTTTCTTACTCAAAGCACTGGCTCTTAGCAAACCTACGTCAGACACAAACGCATTAAACGCCAAAAAAGCTCCGGAATTTGATACTACTAAGATAATTATGATTCAACACTAATTTTGTGGAACAAATTCGAGTTTAAGGATCCGAAATGATGAATTTCGAATTTGTGAGTAGGGTTCATGGCGCGTTCGAATCCAAGAGTTGTAATGGTTTTATTCCAAAGATTTTGCGAGTCAGAAACAGAAAACACGCATTAGAAAGAGGAGAAATAACTGCATCGAACGACAACCGATCTGCTCGTCGTTTCATGTTACAAAGGTTGTAGACTAAGCATGGAAATGGGTAGCATCTAATGAAATTCTATCAAAGAATAATAATGAACGTTTTCGAAAAGTTAGAAACGAAAAAAAAACCTTTGGAGGAAATGAAAAAAACTTCCTAAGGTGTGATGGCACTTTGCTTGGATTTTTAAATAATTACAAAAGCATAAACTGAGCCCGAGTTTCTGAAAGACCTCGAACATTGCGAAACTTGGAAAAAAGCTCCAATTTAAAAAAAATGGTAATAATCCAGAGAATGAGGAGATAAACGGATGCAAATAAGGATGTGATAGAAACTTTAATAATTGGAATCCTTCAAAGTTAATGTCGAATAGGTTTCATAATGAGAGAGATATTTTTGCTGACTTTTTCATAAATTTGATAATTTCGGGTGTGAGCTATAAATGTGAAACTTGTAGTTTAATGTATACTCGTAAATTTATAGTTTAAAAGTCTTTTAGGCAGACTGAGCTAGTCCAAAGTTTGCTTGCGACTAATTCATTCTTTCCATTTGCTTGATGCTGCAAAGATTTTCAAAAAAATTTGGAATAAGGGTGGTGCGTAGAGATATTAACAGCATGAAACAACTTAGAACTATGTTCCAGTAAGGCCCTATAAGTGTCATTAATTCGCGAATTTCTAATAATTATTTTGAGTTTCATGTTACAGCAAAATAAACGATGCCAATACTTTCTATTACTCCATTTCTGGATGATGTGCGGACTTGACATGTAGTCAAGATGAAGTGTTCCGAAAAGTTCATTGGTTGTCGTTTTATCGCATATTGCAATGAAGGCATTTGTGTATGTGGGTGTATTTGTGTGTGTAACAACGCTGTCGTTCCCGCTATTTTCTACATTTTCGTCTTTTGCGTCATAGCTTCTTCATCGTTATCATCATCCTCTTCTTCTCTTCCCTCTATGATCATAGTTCTGTCACCTGGTATTTCCTCGTAGTCATCCATTTCTAAATCCTCTTGTTCCAGGTAGGCTAAGTTTTACGCCGTTCCAAACTCTATATAATTGATCTGCGTTGCATATGGGATAATGACTAAAGTTTGTAAATTTATTTAATTTGCAGGTTTGAACATCCTTTTCACTTCCCGCATTCATTCGGAGTTCCTGGCCGTTTTTTCCTTTCCTAGAAACCGCCTTTATCTTATATATAAAGCTGAATGTCTGTTTGTCTGTCTGTATGTCTGTCTGTCTGTATGTCTGCACGTATGTTCCGAATAGAAAATTCCATTTCTGAACCGATCCAGACCAAACTTGGCACACATACACTACGGGCCCCGGCGGGTGTCATAGGCTACTTTTCGTCATCGATCGATATCGATTTTATCGATTTTTTGCAAAATTTGAGCTACGGGGCTGGGAGTTGGCGCAGGGGGTAATCGAGCATGCTGATTACGAATGCAGTATTAGTTTTTGAAATCGTGCATTACTTTTATCGATTTTATCGATTTTTTGCAAAGTTTGAGCTACGGGGCTGGGATTTGGCACAGGTGTAAGTTGGTACTTGGTTAAGCTGATTTAAACGAGGCAATCTTTATCTCTCATCCTCAATCCTGCATCAAAATATTTCTCCTGTCATCTGAGACTGGATTTCGGTAAGGGATAAGCGAGTGCGCTAATTAAAAAACAGCTTTCCTGAAATAATTCGAATGCTAATGATCACGATCAAACGTACTGAAAGAGTACAGTGATCTCTATAAATTCACAACAATTTTAATTTTTTGGCGAGATTTAAACTATTCTGAAAAATGTTTTATTTATGAAACACTCTTTTAGGTCAGGTTCTAATAGAGCTAGACTAGATTGTTGAGATTTTGCATGCACACATTCTATATGGGGGTCAACATACCATAAATATTTTCGGAAAAAGACCGCGGCTTCCGCCTCAACTGAGGTGGCCGAATGGCCCACCTCGACGGAGGTGTTGAGCCATTGGTTCAATTTTTGTTACAAGCTCGGTTGTCCGACAGAGGCAACCGATGGTTGTCCTCACAACCGAGTGGTTGTACCTCCGAATGGAGGAGAACAACCCCGAGTGGTTGTACCTCCGAATGGAGGAGAACAACCCCGAGTGGTTGTACCTCCGAATGGAGGAGGACAACCCCGAGTGGTTGTACCTCCGAATGGAGGAGAACAACCCCGAGTGGTTGTACCTCCGGATGGAGGAGAACAACCCCGAGTGGTTGTACCTCCGAATGGAGGAGAACAACCCCGAGTGGTTGTACCTCCGGATGGAGGAGAACAACCCCGAGTGGTTGTACCTGCGAATGGAGGAGAACAACCCCGAGTGGTTGCACCTCCGAATGGAGGAGAACAACCCCGAGTGGTTGTACCTCCGGATGGAGGAGAACAACCCCGAGTGGTTGTACCTTCTCCATTCGGAGGTACAATCCCGAGTGGTTGTACCTGCGAATGGAGGAGAACAACCCCGAGTGGTTGCACCTCCGAATGGAGGAGAACAACCCCGAGTTGTTGTACCTCCGAATGGAGGAGAATAACCTCGAGTGGTTGTACCTAATGGAGGAGAACAACCGAGTGGTTGTGCCTCCGAGTGAGGCTTCCGATGGTTGTCCTCCGAGTGAGGCATCTG